AGTTGGCCAAGGACCCACAGAAAGTTTTTTCATAGACTTGGGGGGCTTCTTCTTTGTAGCCTCCTCCTCTTTGAGATCCTGGTCCCAAATACCAGACACCTTAGCATTGACAGACACTGATATCTCCTTTACTGACCTCCCCACCCAAAAAAAAAAAACACACATTCTTTGCTTGGATTCTGTTTCTCTGGCTACAGTTTGGGAAACACTTTCAGGGAGAAAACTGGAATAAATACGTGACTCCCGTTGAGTTCTTTCTTATTTGCAGAGATCAAAGACCCACACTGGTTGTTTTCTAATGCCTAAAAACAGTTGTTGTATATGTTTTGTCCAGTCTTTATAGTTATTTTAAGCAAGATATTCTTATACCAGCTTACAGAATGTACAGAAGCAAAATGGGTAACATAAGAATTTCTAGAAGAAAATATGAGATAATTAAAAATAGCAGTAATATTTTGAGAAAGCTTATCTATGTATGACACAAACCTCAAAACCCATGGAAAAAAATTGATACTTTTGTTTCTACAGTAAAACAAAACAATACGATTTGACAAAAATGAATTGCATCTTAAGTCAACAGTTAAACATTAATATTTGGGGAAATATTTGTAAATTACATTACATAAAATGTAATGTGCAATGTCTTTGGCACACTTACAACAAAATTATATTTAACTAAATGAAAGGTCCTGTAGTCAACTGCAGATCCAACATGCCTAAAAATAAAAACAGTTATTTTCCCTCCACTCTGTATCTTGTCCTAGCTCAGTTAATAACATTACCTATCAATAGCATAAATTCTTATGGTCATCTTTGTGTCTTTTCCAATATTTAAGTTTTAGACTAATCGAATTAATATTCTTTTATTTTTTAAAATTGTACTTAAAATGTGTGTTTCTATCTTTGAAAATGAAAAATAAGGACTAGTAAATAATTATATGTAAATACTGTTTCCATTTTTTTCTGATACATTATAAACTATTCTAATCTTTACATAGATATCTTTGTAGATTGGGAACATTTTCTTTTCTTTCTCATTTCTCTTTCCTTTGCTCTTCTCTATTGTTTAGAAACATCAATTTGTAGATTTATATGCCATACATATTTCATTTTTTCTATATATTTTGACCTCTATTCTTCACTTTTGTGTTTCTGAGAAAAATTTTCAAGGTTGCTTTGACTTGTTTTCTGTATGCATGGCCAGGTCTGTTTTATTCTTCTATTCTGCATTAATTTTCTGTAACTGTATTAACAAATGACCACAAATTGGGTGGCTAAAACAACATTAACTTATTCTCTCACTGTTCTGGAGGCCCAAAGTCCAAAATCAAGGTGTTGGCAGGACTGTGCTCCCTCCAAAGGCTCTGAGAATCTGTTCTTCGATTTTTCCAGCTTCTGGTGGCCTTAGCTCCTTGGCTTCTGGATGCATCACTTTAGCCGCTTCTGCGGTGGCCACACTGTCTCCTCCTCTTCTGTGTGTCTAATGCTGAATCCTCCTCTCCTTCTCTTTAGCCCTCACCCAAATAATCCAGAATAAATTTCTTTTCTCAAGATCCTCATCTTAACCACATCTTTGCCATATTAGGTAATATTCACACTTTTGTCATTTAAGTAATAATGACAGGTTCTGGAAATTAGGGCCTAAATATATTTAACGTTGATTGGGGGGCACCGTTCATCCCACTATACCTTCTAATTTTCAATTTGGTTATTTTACATTCATTTCTACCCAATATTTTATAATATTGTAATGGATTGATTTTTCTACCAACCATCCTTAACAGAGATAATGTGATTGCCTATTTTAGGTACATAATCAAATAAGAATTGGACTGAGTTGACTGATATATGTTCCAATCTAGATCCTTTAAGGTAGACTTGCCAATATTTGTATCAAAGGAAAAATGGTTAACAGAAATTTCAAGACAAAGAAGCCTATGCCATAGGAGAGTAGCAAGAAAAAAAGGGTGATTTCAACAACTAGTAGCTTCATCTTATCACTGTAGTCATCTGAGACCCCTGAATCACTATTCTTATTAAAGTCACCAAATACCTTCATCTCATCTAATGGAACTGTCAGTTCTCCTTCCTCAATTTCTCATTCTCTCAGCAGCATCTCATAGAGTTAACCAGTTTGGGCTTCTTAGTTCATGTTCTTCACTTGACTTCCAAGTACCTTACCAGCAGGTTTTTGGTTTCCCTCATACCACATTAGCCTCTCTTCATTCTCCTTTACTAGCTCTTTTGCCTTAGTTTGAAATAGCATAGTGCCCCAGGACTTAGTTCTTAAATTGTCTCCATATTCACTCTCCCACATGCTGATATCATTCACTGTGACTTTCACTTCAGAGCCTTTTTACCAGAAATTTCCTCTACTTAGAAAACAACTACATACTTTCATATGGCTCTCTGTTTCTTATGATTCAATCACATTTCCTGCATTTATTTTTCTATCTAATATACCCAAATAGAAAACATACCCTTTGATCTTCTCTAAGTTAATGAAATCACCATCCACCCAGTTTTTTTAGACTAAAGACATAGGCACAGTGTTGCTTGATTATTTTATTCAATCTATCCCTAAAGTCAAGCCAATTGTATTATTAGCTCCACCTTCATAATATACCCAGAAACTGACCTTTCCTCACTATTTCCATTCTATGGTAGGCAGAATTCTAAGATAAATCACAAGATCCTCCACTCCTCATGTACATGCAATGCATAATTCTCAGGAGAGTGAATATGATTAATTTTACTTCCATAATTGTATTACAAGGTGCTACTGACCTTAAAATATTGACATTATCTAGGTTGGCCTTGACTCATCCTATGGGTGTTTTAAAAGCAGAGAGTTTTCTTTAGCTGGTCACAGAAGAGGAGTCAGAGATTTGAAACGTGAGAAGGCTCTGACATATCTTTGCTGACCTGAAGATGCTGGGGCCACGTGTCAAAGAAACATGGGCAGCTCCAGAAGATGAGACAACACATGGCTCAGAGCCAGCAAGCAAAAAAGGACAAGAGTCCCATCACCATACAGAGCTAAATTCTGCTCACAGCCTGAATGAGCTTGGAAGCAGGTACTTCTCCAATCCTCCAGGCGAATACTTAGTCAACATCTGGATTTTGGCCTTTGAGACCCTGGGAAGACAATCCTGCCACAATATGCCTGGGTTCATGACCTATAGAACTGTTTGATAATAAATGGGTTCTGCTTTAAATCACTACATTTGTGGTAATTCATTATCCAACTCGATAAAAAATCCACATGCTAAAACCCTAATCCAAAATATCAGTCTGTAGCCTGTACTATAGGAAACAGCCTCTTAATTATACTTCCTCTTTACACTCTTGTTTCCTTATATTTCATTCTCTACCAACAGTCACAGTAATCTTTTTGTTAAGGTGTTCTTTTCAAAACAAAAGTGAGATCATGTCACTCTGTGCTTAAGACCTTCCACTGGCTTTGTCATTACTTAGGATAAATTCCAAAATCTTTAACATAACATATGTTATTATATTTGGTCTAGCTGTCATCTAATTCTCCACCTCAACTCCTACCTCTAACCACAGTTATTCCTTTCTCAAACATGTTAAACTCATTCCAGTCTCTGAGATTTTTATACATGCTCCTACCTGGAACATACTTCTACCTGGAACATCTGGTTTTCAGCTCAAATGATACCCTTTTTCTGTGACTACCCTATCTATCTTCTAGACCAATCATTCTCTATTTGCTAATCTTGCTTTTTACAGTATATTTTATTGTCTAATTAAAATGTTATTTATCTATGTGTTCACTTATTAAAGTGTTTGTCTCCCTGCCAAAACTATAAACTAAATGTGGTGTCTTTTACATCTTGTTAGTAGAAAGAACAGAGTCTGTACATACTTGCTGAGTGAATAAATGAAGATTTGTGCCCCAGAAAATCCTCTACCAACCCCCTCCTCCCCGGTGTACAATTCTGTTTGAATTTGCAACACCAATCAGTAGTAATTTTTAAAGTTTCTGCAAGTAATAGGTATCCCAATGCTTCCAGTCTGTAGGAGTGAAAGGACGCCTAAAATGTTTTGCAACTCTATATTCCAAACTTATTTTGCATGTCTATGTTCAAAGTTAGCAAGACTTCTCATCAGGAAAGAGCTTTCTGAGTTTAATTTGACGCAGAGCATAGTTCTACTGTTTTTCTTAGCCAGGGGAATACAATCAGTAATCACTACTTTTTAAATTTTTCTTTCTGGTTTAGTCTCAAAGCATTTTATTTGGCAGAAATTCCTTCTCAATCTTGGTAGGCAGTCAATTCTTACTGTTTATTTAAGATGCTAATTCGAACATTTTCTAACTTATTTGGAAGTTATAACATTATTACTTATAGTATTATATTGACCTGTAAGAAAGCTTGGAAATTTCCAAAAGAGCTCTCAAGAAAAGGAAGCTATTTTGAGATGTAGTTATTTTCCATCATTTGAAGGTACTCAGGTATAGGGTATAGTCATATATGAATAGCTTGACTAAAAGCTGTTTGAAGTGCTCTTCAATCTCAAGATGTTACAATTCCTAATATGTATAAGACAGGTCCCAGTTAATAATCTCCAAGGGGTGGTTAATTAAAAGTGCTCTTCATGTTACAAAACTGACATATTCCTGATACAATTCTTACTAAATAAATTTCAACACATCTAATTTTCTTTCTACCTCTACTATAAATTTTAGAATAAACTATTTTGGAAAATAATTTGTCTTATGCTAATTAAGTGAAATATTGTGAAATAATACTAAAGTTAAGGTTATTCTAGGAAGTAATATTTGGCCAGTGTATAAGTAAAATCAGTATGTCCAATTTATGACTTATTTCATTATAAAATTGAAAATATTTCAATGTAAAGTATTATATTTATTTTATAGTTCAAAAAACATAAAAATATATTGAAAGTTAGAAAAACTTACCTTGAAATTTTCTGAATTTATTTTTATATTCTTTTATTAATTTTAAGTAACTTACCCAGGTGCATAGTTGCATATGAAAATTGCTGCATGTATAATATGTCCAATTCTTGAACATGGAGTAACAGCACAACCAACTTTGTAAGAGTTGTCCCAAACAAGCTAAAATAACAATTTCAAGAAAGACACAAAATTTAATTTTAAACATTTACTTTCATATTATAAACAATAATATATTCCATTCACATAGAACTTTTCACCAAGCAATTCAAGAAATATAAACTATTTTTATTTAGAGACATGTAGAGAGTTACCACAGAGTTGGGGCAGCATTTTCAACACTGTATTTAGAGAAATGCTTAAATAGATTCTACCAATACCATATTCTTAGGAAGAACTGTTTGAGAACACGGTCAATCCAGAATAATGCTTCAGAGACAGAGGAAGTCACACCTGATGAATCAATTTTCAACCTCTGTTTGAATTGAAAAGTTCTAGGTTATTGGAAGAGAGAAGATGGGAAAGAGGAGAATAAGTTTTTAAAAGATGGAAGTTGTGGGAAAAAGGGAGAAAAAGAGAGACAATCCGATTATAGAAACTAAAAGAGATACAAGAGTAGAGAAGAATTGAATGCTATTGGCATTTCTCCTTCTCTTTGTTAAGAAAATTCTATTGCAGGACAAAACAAAAGCTGTCCTTTTCATTAAAAAAATGAAATAAAAGAGCTGGTTTCTATAAAAGAGAAACAGATCTTGAATTGGAGTAAAAAAGATGGGAATAATCAAAGGCATTCCAGAAATTATCTGTATAACTTTAATATTTCTAATACTTCAAAGTGAACCAAAAAGTACTTGTTAATCTCTGTGCAAGAAAGAGGAACTATTCTTGTTTTATTCTTTATCTCAGGCCTTAGTGGTTTTAAAAGTGTGATCCTTAAAGAAATAAAGTGACACATTAAAAAGGTGATACATTAGAAGAATAAAGAATAGAATATCTGCAAGAGTTAAAGTGAAGTTAAGCATATCAAATGCAGGAAATGAAAATGTCTAGGAGACTAGAATTAAGGAACAAAAACACAAAGTACCATATCAGGGAGTAGATTTGGTCAATGAGTATTAAAGCCATATTAAAGAGGCTAGGTTTGATAGGAGCAAGTCAATGGAGAATCACTATAACTTTCTAGAAGAAAGAAATGATCAGAAAAAGAAAAATGACGAAAAAATTTTTGAAGCATGATTGGATGAAAGAGAAAGACATGAGTTCAACATGAACAAATTCCAAAATGTTAAGTTCTACATAAAACGTGACATCAGGGTTTGTTGATTGAAAAACTACCTTTTAAATAAATGTGGGAGTTCATGTAATGATTTCTTGATTCCTGAAACAAATATTTATTGCAGACCTAAATAATGTCATGTTGTTGAGAATATATGGATGAAAAGGCAAGGTCCCTGCCCTCAGTGTAGTATCAGACATATAAATAAATTATTGTTAAACAATGTGATGTGTAAAATAACAAAGGTTATGTACCATAAGTGCTTTAATATTCCTGGAATATGAAGTGTGAGGGTGGATTATTGAACCAGAGGCAGGGAAACAATACTATTAATTTGCATTCCAAATGTTTTAGTCAATCAGCTATATAGTAGTATGTGTACTGATAAGTGCAAAAAAATCTTCTACTTATGTTTATAGTCAATAATTTATAAATTATTTTTATTTACTGGTTTCTTTTCTCCTTTTCCAGTGTACATTATTTTTAGGAAAGTGCTTTTCATCTTTGAACATGGAGAGTAGGTTTACTCTATTTAAAATATTGTTTTAATTGTATGGTTCACATAAAAGATGGGATGGTAGACATTTTGAAGACTAGGAAGATTGATTAAAAGTGTGATCTTATTAAATGTAATAATTTTATTATTTGAGTTTATGTACAAATTTGAAACATAATAAAACTAGGCATAAAGCAAAAAGTATTTGAATTAATAACAAAATAAAAATTAGGTACCTGAATATAATTAGAACAGTCTCCAGAGCAACTGCCATTTTCAAAATTGTACATTTTCTTCTCTGCATGCCAACTTCTGATAGCAATACTTGCAGTAAATTCATTTTCAGGGCCAACCCACATATTTTCACCAATACCATAAAATTTAGGATGGACCATTTGTACATCTTCTAAATAAATATTATGCTCAAACACACATCTTTTGCCCCATGCTCTAGCAGTCCGTGATAAAGCTACATCCCAAGTCTGAAAAATATTCGAAAAGCAAAGAGAACAAAATAAGAAGTTTTTTTTGTAGTCTAAAATATTTTTTCTTGAGTTCTTATCAATAGATTTAAAGGAAACAACTCTAATTTTGTACTCGTGCATCTTGGCTGAGAAATTTCTATTGGGAAAAACTTCTATGGGATAATCAAAAATGAAATGACCATTTCCTGAGACAAAGTACTATGTATATATTTGTAATTAAAATATTAGAATGCTAGATGATGGAAATGATACTATTCTCACATGTAGTCTGTTCAGAAGTATGTAATACACTTTCCTATAGTCTGCTCAGAGTATATATTTTTAAACTCATGCCTTTTTGTACACACAAATACAACAGTCTAAAATACTATTCATTTAAGAGGTAGTTATTAAGTAATGATTATATGCAAAATATATTGTCAAGAATAAAATGCTAAGTCAGCATAAATTTTGTCCTCAAATTGCTTTATTAGAATTATATATATTTTATATACATAATTAAATATATTTTATATATACCTGATTAGATATACATCTCATATACACATCTTATATATATCTGATTAGATACACATCATATATATTGGATTAGCTGTACATCTTATATATATTGGATTAGATATACATCTTATATATCAGATTAGATATACATCTTATATATATCAGATTAGATATACATCTTATATATTGGATTAGATATGCATCTTACATATTGCATTAGATATATTTTTTATACCAGATTACATACAAGATCAGATATATATGTAAGATTAGAGAATAAGAGAAAGAAGAAAGAGAATATATAGTGTGTATATATATATACACACACACACACACACGAAAAACTTTTAACACATGGTAGTAGTTGGTGAATGTTACATGTAAGGCACATATAACGTTTGTTGCCAGAAATATGAGAAAATAGCATAAGATGCTGTTCCCTGGCTAGCTATCTGGAAATAACCAGAAATGTGTGCTTTTATCGTCATTTAGAGACTCATTAAATTAATTGTTAGTGAAGGACCAGAACAAAAACCGCACACTAGAAAAATCAACAAAATAGTGGTGAAACCAAAATACTAAGTACATATGTTATAGTGTGTCGGAAAGTAAACATCTGAAAACCAATACTCATACTTCCTCAGAGCAGGAGTGTCCAACACTTTGACTTCCCTGGTCCACATTGAAAGAATTGTCTTAGGCCACACATAAAATACGTTAACACTAAGGATAGCTGATGATCTAGTAAAAAAATCGCAAAAGAATTCATAATGTTTTAAGAAAGTTTACAAATGTGTGTTAGGCTGCATTCAAAGTTGTCCTGGGCCTCATGCAGCCTGCAGGCCACAGGTTGGACAAGCTTGCCTTACAGTTTTCTTAGTGAATCCCACAGATTATACATAAATACAATACAGAAAATAAACATATCAGACCTTTAGAATATCTCCCCACTACTTCCTTTCCCCTAAGGTAACCACTATTAAAAAATTTGCTTGTGTATATATCTCTCTATCTGTATATACAAACATACACACATTTAACTCTAAATTTGGCTGTTTTAAATGGGTATTTTGTGATCTTTTTTCCCTTGCACGATTGTGATCATATCATATATAATATTATTGGCCTTCAACTTTCAGTTTTCATGTAGAGAAAGAGTTCCATATTAACATAACTAGATTTGCTTAATTTTTACAAGGTCTACATAGTATTCCACAGCATGGATAGCCTATAATAAATATAATCATTTCACCATTAATAGACCTTTAGATTGTTTCCCATTTGCAAACAATGTCCCATGGACTATACTTCAACCTGATATATTTTACATATAGTTCACATACCTCATCCTTACTACATAGCAGTCATTATTTTAAGAGTATTTTATGTATTATTTCACTGAATGTTCCAATAACCCTAGGAGGTATGTATTATGATTATCATTTCTGTTTGCCCAGAGGAAGTAACTAAAACACCAAGAGGTTAAGAAGTTTAAGTGTATTAAATGTCTCATAGACAGTAAATTGTGGAGCCTGGATTTAAACTCATGAAATCTAATTCCCAACTCCAAGTTCATAAGCATTTTACTTCTCACAGCTATGTGCAAATAACTTGTAATAGCTCCAGATTCTTTTATTCAACTATGAATAAAAATCCTAATTGAAAAGAGAGGCTAAAGTTTCAAGAAGCAGTTAATGAGATATTTAATGAAATATGTCAAGATAAGGTTGATAAATGTGCTTTGAGAGGGCAAAAAATTTTTGTAAGCCATTAGTCTTTGTTTAGCTAGAAAAGCTGAATCCACATTCTAATTTGTACTCTCTTATAGGTAACAGGAAGATTTTAAGATTTTATTTCAATATATTTCCCTAGAATATGTCTAACTATGGGCCTTTTCTCATTAATTGGGCTTAGCATTTGGTGGACTCCATTAAAAAATAATTTTAAAAGGAAGGTATAATCATAACTCTCATACATGTGTCAATGATTTTACGTGATTAATTAATGAGGGAACTACTAAGATATTATCTTTGGATTAAGAATCCAAAGAATTCTCAAGATTATAGGCTGTATAGAAGTGCTGAAATCCATTCACAAATAAATGTAAAAACTGGGTCTTATCCACAGGGCAATCGTCAATTACATTTCATCCGACACAATAAATTTGCATTTCTATGAGCAAAATTAGTTACATTACAATCACTTTTCTACAATTTAAAAATTGTAAATTGCCTAGCTCAAAGACAATTATAGAAAAGATAATTGCTATGTGTAAGATAAACAATGCACACAATATTGTATTTCACAATTTTCCCTGACATTTATCTTAATCTAAAAACTTATGTCTTTCCTCAGCTCTAGAAAATCTGCTTCTATTATTTCTTAATTTTCTCCCCTTTATTTTGGTTTTTAGTTCCACACCATTTGTAAGATTTAGGAACTTTGCATTCTATTCTCTCTTTCAATTTTCGCTTTGTGCTTTTACACATTAATTTATTTATTCATCCATTCAATACATGGGAATATCTCAATAAGCTGAAGGATATAAAGTTGCAGATGAAAAATTTCATTATTGAAGTAAAAAATATTCATGACACTTGTTAACACAGTAATGAAGGCTTTGGAAGACTTGCAACAGGGGAGACACCTGAGGCTCAACTCCAAACACAGGAAGGATAAGTGGGGATTTATAGCCATGAAGCAGGATTAGGGGGTCAATGAATAAAAAATTATTGAGGAGACATCAAGTTTGACGGGATTCTTGCTACACTGATCTAAAGGATTCTTGCTGAAGACAGGTCAGTGTAGCCAGGTCAGGCCAGGTAGATCTCAAGGTTGGGGGATGAAGATTTTGATCAGATATTCAGAGTAATCAGGTATCGAGGGTGGGAGATTTTCCTTAAACTGGGCAAGGTGGGACTTTTGTGAAAACTGGGTGATGCAGGCCATAGGACAGGGCCTAAATCCCAGGTCTAGTCAGAGAGGGCTCAGGAAAGTCTGACTAAAGTTTGGTTAAGTAGAGGGCTCAGGAAAGTCTGAATAAAGTTTGGTTAAGTAGAGAGTCTTTGTTAGGCCCCTCTTGTATTTGTATCTGTCTCTCTTTCTCTTTCTTTTTGAGATAGGGACTTGCTCTGTTGCCCAGGCTAGAATGCAGTGGTGTGATTGTGGTTCACTGCAGTCTCAAACTCCTGGGTTCAACTGATCCTCCTTTGTTAGCCTCCATAGTAGCTGGGATTACAGGTGTGCACCACCGCACCCAGCTAATTCTTTTATTTTTTTGTAGAGACAGGGTCTTACCATATTGCCAAAGCTGGTCACAAACTCCTGGACTCAAGTGATCCTCCCACCTCAGCCTCCCAAAGTGTTGGTATTACAGGTATGAGCCACCATGCCCAACACCTCTCTTCTTATTTGACAATGCACTTCATGCAATTTAACCTATTAAATAAATCTAATTAGTTTTAACTTTTTAGAAAAAAAAAAAGTAAAGGAAAAAATTCTTTGAGATAATCTAGGGTTCTGGGAAATTTCAAGTTCAGCTCAAAATTAAGATTTCATTTAGAATTTGATCTTGGAAAAGCAATGTCATAAAAAATCTCAAAAGGTTTGAACACTTGACTAAATAAGATCTTAGACAGCTATGAAACAATACTTAAGCAATCTATTTAACCAATACGACAAAAGATTTCAAAATTAACTATGGGGGTAACATAATTTTTTTTTAAAGACCTTAGCTCTTTTAAAAGTGAGAATACTTGGTTTTCTTAAATAATCAGGAAAATAATCAAGTTTATATAAAGCACAGGAAATTATTTTAAGATACACAATCTTTTTATTCTAAGTTGATTACTTGAAAAGCAAAAAATCCCCACGACTTTTGACAATTTCTTACCTAAGAGCGGACCAGTAACCCAAGTAAATGTTGTCATTTTTACAGAGAAAAAATCAAATTCTAGTTTTACATCACTGTACTTTTAATTTTAAATGTCATTTAAGGTTTTCTAAAAAGCCATTATAAATACAACCATCTGGTCTTAGCCAGCTTTGACCATGCAACATAAAATTTTCTTTCACAAGCCTTTTCAAACTTTCTATATCCACATTTCTATATTTGTTGAAGGCCGAAAGAGTGAGGGTCATGATCAACTCAGTATACCACTGGAGGCTATATGAGTAAACTGCAAACTGTTCTCATGAAAGTGGGTTGTTGGCAAACTGACAAACTGCATCTCCTGCCCAGAAGGAATGCTGAGGGTAGTCATGACCCAGGCACAAGTGTTTTTTGTGATTAGTTACATCTGAAGCCTATTAATAATAATATGAATCTGTGATCGATTATGCAGCTGGCCAATTGTTACCTCCTCCTCCCCGCTGATTTCATGCAACAAATATGAAGGGCTGTGGAAGCTCAGGGTGGCTGCCGTTGCTCACTAGAGGCAGGGAGACCTCTTCTTCCTCCTCATGTTACCCTTCCTTTAAAACAGTTTCTTTTAAGT